GAGATTCCTCATTATGGAGACTCCTCATAATGGAGATTCCTCACAATGGAGATTCCTCATAATGGAGACTCCTCATAATGGAGACTCCTCATAATGGAGATTCCTCATAATGGAGATTCCTCATAATGGAGACTCCTCATAAAAAAGAGAGAGAAATACACACAAAAAACAGTCGTCAAATTACCTTTATCGAAACGAAGAGAAAGATGAGTTGTTTCCACATCTCTGTGCTTTCTGGAAGGAGTGAAAACGGAGAATTTTTTTTTTTTTTTATCTTTTCGTAGGTAATATGACAGTTATGAGTTCATTATAATGAATGCATCTGTAATTATCATTATCATTATTGCTATTATTACTGTTATTATCATCATTATTTTCATCAATGTTATCATTTCTATTATTATGATTATTGTTGTTGTCATCATCATTCTCATCATTATTCTTATTATTATCATCATAATTATTATTATAGAGGTGTCGTTGTTACCATTACTGGTATCATTATCATCAATAAAATCATCATCTCCGTCATTATCCTGTTTGCTGTTGTTAATAAAATTGTCGATGCATCCTGTGCAAGCGACGGAACACGTCCGAGATTAAATCAGCAAGCATTTCCTTTTGTTCAACACCTGTTCTGCGCCTATTTTCTCTTCCGAAGGTCGTGCTCTCCCTCCCGCCCCTTCCGTCGCACTGAAAGCCTTGAACTCACTAGGGGAGAGATGCGGCTAATGAGCTGTGAAGGGGGAGCTGCGACGAAGGGGGAGCTGCGAAGGGGAGCTGCGAAGGGGGAGCTGCGCGAAGGGGGAGCTGTGAAGGGGGAGAAGGTGCGAAGGGGGGGAGGTGCGAAGGGGGAAGGTGCTAAGGGGAGGTGCGAAGGGGACAAAGAGAGGGGAGGTGGTCTTTGTTCGTGTACTAAAAAAATAAATAAACACATTATAGAAGCTTTTTTTCTGTTCTCTTCTCGTCTCTTCTCTTCTCGCTTCGTCTCTGCTCTTCCCTTCTCTAAATTCAAACACGCAAGCTTATGTAAACACCATTACTACGTATCTTCTTACGGTGATATTTATGCTTACACACACACACACACGCACAAACAAACACACACACACACCCACACACGCACACACACAAACAAACACCCCCCCCCCACACACACACACAAACAAACCAACAAACACGCACACAAACAACCAAACAAACACTCCTAAATAAGACAAAACAATAGCCTGACGTCTACATGCAGATTAAGCGCAGAATAAATAGAAAAACCGCATTATATAATCCGGTCAAAACGGAAATGCCAGCGCGGTGCCACTGACCATGATCCCGAGGTTGTTTTAATATTCTATTTTTGTGCTTTGTTCTAAAATTATTTTTCCATCTGTTACCTTTCTCCCGCTTTACCGTATGCAAATGCGATTTTATAGATTGATGATGATATTAATAATAACAACAAGAATAACAATGATGATCATTATAATAATGAGCAATAGTAATGATGATGAAAATAATAATGATAATGTGAATAAGGACAATAATTATAAAGCCATTAATTATAATCATAATATTGGTATACATAATAATGAAAATAATCATAAGAATAACAATCATAATAAAAATTATACTAATAATGTTTACACTAATACTACTAATGATATTAAAAATTTTAATTAAAATTATTGATATAATAATTATCATAATGACAATGATGATAAATCATAATAATAGTAATAATGATAATGATAAAAGATAACAACAATGATAATAATGAAATGATAGTAATAACAATAACATCAATAATAGTAATTATTAAGATGGCAATAACAATTATGATAAAACTAGAGCATGTATAACAAAAAACAATAATTATAATAATAATGATAATCCTTATTGTTATGATAATTATCATTATTATTATGATGATGATGCTAATGATAACAATAATGATAATAATAATAATATGATGATGATAATAATCATATCAATAATAATAATAACAATAATAATAATAATAATAATAACGATGGCAATGATAATAACAATAAAGATAACAAGAAATTAATAACAATAGTAATAACAATAAGAATAGAAATAAGAATGACGATGGTATTAATAATAATGGTGACACTAACGATGATAATGATAATGACAATTATAACATCAATAACAGTAATAACAGAAATAGCGTTAATAATGACAACAACAGTAATAAGAATAATATTAATAACAACAATGATAATAATATTAATAATAATGATAATGATAATGACAATAATAGTAATAATAATAATGATGATGATAATAATAATGATAATATTGATAATAATAATAGTAATAATAATGATGATGATAATAATAACAACAAAAACAATTACGATAAAGAACATTATAACAATTATAATAATGATAATAATAATACTAATAATAACAATAATAGCTATGATAACAATAACAAAAATACTAATGCAATGATTTAATAACCTAATATTTCAATAGA